CTTCAATATTGCCCTTAAGAGGCATTTTGGTCATTTTGATCCCTGGTCAACTAGGGCTCAAAGTGGGTCGATCAAAATACAGTTTAATGTTTAATGGGTCAGGATTAAGGGTTTGGAAGTGATTGGAGGCTTGTAGAAAGCTCAAAGGTCAAAATCCACTGGATGGCAGGTCTAGTGGTATAGGTTGTAAATATTTGAAGGTTTTATAGCCTTTGGATTTCAATTCAATTTCTGAGGCTAGGGACCTCAAAATGGGCTCAAGTTTAGAGGGTTAACTCTAGAGACATGTCTTATCACCGTATAAGTGATAGACTCTGAATTAGAGGTCATTTGATTAGGTTTTGAAGAGTTTGAAAATTCATTGGAAAAGACTTTCAGGACTTACACCTTTATCCTTGGATTTCATTCTGGATTGATCTAAGATCTAGATAGATCCTAAGGTCTGGATCTAGGAGAATCCTAGAGTTTAGGTTGATCTGGAAGAATCCTAGGGTCTGGATTGATTTGGAGTCTGGAAGGGTCCTTACTGACCTCATACAAAAATGAGATCAACAATAGTCACCCCAAAAGGCATGACTAAGAACTCGTAATGTATGTATATAGTATTGAAATAAATATTCATCACATCATCATCTCTCACATTCACCTTATAATACAAATTACAAATCGATCTTGGAGAACATAGAAGATCCAACAAGTTGATCAAACAAATCATCGATCTGAGGTATATGATGCCCATTCTTAATAGTGACTTTGTTCAACTCTCTATAACCAATGTGCATGTGCATCATATTATCATCCAGCAAGTTAGTCAAATTCATAAATAGGCAAACAAAAAAAAAAACTAGATCATCACTTCCTATTATATATCTAAAAAATCACAAACTTTTAATGCTTGCTACCATATTGTCATGCCCCATATTCAAATTTAAAATAATTATCTATTTTATCATTTTAATTATTTACTAGAGCTTCTATAAATTATTAATATAAATCAATCTATCTCATGAAATCCATTGAATATCGTACACAAAGAAATATTTTATTATATACATTCACCAAAGTCATATTTATAACAGCTAGGAGATCACTAAAAATTAATAAGTCTATAAATATATCCTAAATATAAAATAAAAAAATAAAAAAAAGAACATTAAGATCTCAATCCACCTCAGTGTACAAAGAAATGGCCCCTTCCCTAACCTGAAATCAATAAAACTATATACGAGCTTACAAAGACCAAAAGAAACTCAAAATTCACTAAAACTTTCAATACAAGATTTAAGAAATTAATATGCATACCCATCTCAATCAATAGCATTCAATAATATCAATGATCAATCATCATTAGTACAATTCAATATGATCAATAACAAAATGTGAGAATCATCAAGCTGAAATATATAAATCAACGACAAGTGTGAGAACATAAATATGTCAAAAATCATTAAATCAATATTGTAGCATGAATATATAGGTGTCAATATCTTTAGTCTTGTGCCTTTTATTAATTATATATTATATGAATCAATACATGTAATCATTCATATGATATATATGCACACACATTATTAATATATTTATCAATGCTATTAATGTATATATGCATGCATCTGTATATATCAATGTATGTATGCATCCAACTTTAATGTGGTGTTTTTATTCTTCCATTTGTATTCATCATTATCATTATCACTACAATATCTTTATCACTTTATCATTACAGGTGACTTTCAATACATCATTAAGAGTCATTACACTATCCATCAGTGTAATCGATCATTAGTTACAAGTCACAACTAGGATAACATGATAAATCATCTTTAAAGAAATGCTCATTAGCTCACCCTCTTCTACATGATTTTATGTTTTAATAGTCAAGCCACACTAATTATAGTATTAATAGCAAGTCTTCTTTACTTACAAGCAAATAATAGTATTAATTACTTTAATACATGAAATGCTTAAATTTATAAAATATAGGAAAACCTATATATTAATCTATTGCTTCAAAAAATTATAAATTCTAATTTACTTTGTAGAATTCAATAATATTATAGTCAAATTATCCATAAAATATATATCTACCATATATAAAAAGATATATGATAAAAGGGCGAATCAAGAGAAAATACATTTTTATCAATTTAGGAAAGATTAAATTCATCAAACTCAAAATCAATGAAAATCAAAATGAGATTCGAGTTACTTACAACAATCAGAAGACTTTTCCTAACTAAAGTGATAGATTAAATTGACCATAACTAACTTTCTCGCTCTTATCTCTCTCCTCTTCCTCTTCCTTTCCCTCCTTCCACAACAAGCCACACTAGAATGAGAGAGGTGGTGGTATTGAGGTGCTTTAGTGCTTAGGATTTAGAATAAAATATATAAAAAGAAATGTTAGTGGCCTAGCACCATAGCGCTTGGATTCAATGCCATAGCGCAACATATTGAATTCAGAATTATTGTTAAGCAAAGACTCTAATGCCATGACAATGATTTTTTGTGATGTTTTGCTCTCAAGTCTAGCACAGTAGCGCTGAAGCACTCTAGTTCAAAAAAATTCAAAAAAAAATTTTGTTACACATACTATCTTTAGTCGTTAACATAAAAGACATGGAAAATGACATTAAAATTGAAGGCAAGTGTAGTAAATCAAAGTAACACTAAAATGTAAATGAATAACTGACTCCATGATCAAATAAATATGATAAGGCTACTTAGAAATATAATATGTACCTATAATAATATCTAGGGTATCTTGAGCATCATACTGAGTCATATTGTATACACATGCATAAATTACAACTAGAGTAAAAGAACTACCAGGCTCTCTCTGACCAATGGTTGATCTCCCTCTACTGAGCCTACCATTAAACTAGAACCACTACCGAAAGAGATTTCAGTAAATGTACGTAGGGATACTGTCCTTGGTCTCCTTGTTGATATGATATAACTCTTAGATCTGGGTTTAGATCGTCGGTCAGCTCCTTCCTGCAGACACTCTTCCACTCTATATCCTATATAACAACATCAAGAGCAATGCCATATCACCCTATAACACTGGCCAAGATGTTGTCTTCCACAACTCTCATACGTAAATATTCCACTAACTGAACCTCCAAAACTGACCACACTACCACTATCCAGAATTGATAGTGTTGGTCCACCTCTCCTAGACTCTCCAAGTCCAAACATACTCTTTTTTCTAGAATAACTACCACCAAAAGTTTGCCTACAAATAATTTCTTATTAGCAGTCCACCGCTGCTAAGTAGCTATCAGATCGTTCTCAATTAAATAGTCTCTCTCCACACGACGCCCAAGGGAAGAAATTCATATTCTTCAAACAAGCAAGCAAACCCTCATAATTCGCTTTGAAATATATGCATACTCTCATATATACACAAAAATATTTCCAGGCAGATACAAAAATGTTCAAATGTTGAAATTTAACAATTTTACCTTTTTCAGTTTGAGTCAGAATAGATTGAATTGAATACTGAATCTGGATATGTGTCGCAATAGTAATGGTGGATGTTTGATAGTTTTGATTTATCCTATGGGGGTTGAGAGATTTTGTATAGCTTGAGTTATCATGTGTAAAGTGTCATATGAGGAGCAAGAGAAAGGCTTCCACTCATAAATGGCATTAATAAAGATGTATTTCTCCTTAGGGTTCGTTTGGGCGGCTTTTTTATTTCTTTTTAAAACGGAGTTTTAGTACAAATTTTTTTATTTTTGTACTAAAACTCCGTTTTAGAAAGTAATAAAAAAGTCGTCCCAAACGAAATCTTAATTGTAATGGTAAGCTTGTTAGGCAAGATGCTAATGATCGAAAGTTTAATACTAACTTTAGCAAAGGTAAGCCAAAATCTCTTAAGCCATGAAGGGTCCTACAATAAGAGGAATTTGTACTTTGCTAGTAATTCTGAAAATTTCATTCTTAGACCACCAATATAGTAGCTTATTAGCCTATTAGGTAGAACAAATTAAAATTTATACATATATAGAACAAATTAAAATGCTAATGGCTAATTTATTTCATATTTGAATTTTTTATTTATCATTTACCGTTCCAAAAAATATTTGATAATATCTATAATTTTAAATATTATAAAATTAAATTTAAATTGATTAAATCAAAATTAAATAATAATTAGTATAACACTTTAAAATAGTTAGTAATCAGTTTTAAATATTAATATAATTAAATTTGAATTAGTTTAAGACTTTACTAATTAGATGAGTAAAATTCTTTTCAATTTAATCATTGCAATAACTGACCCGACTCGTAAATTTGACACATTTATTAAATGGATTAAACTCTAGCTAACACATGACCCATTTTAATTAAAAAATGACCTGTTTACTATCTCTTTTTTATTTGTTTTACTTGTGGGCATTTTTTTTAATCAAATATTTTAAATTTTATATTTGAGAAGTTATAAAAAAATATCAAAAAGGGTTAATAGGTCATGTTCAGGTTATTCATATTGTTAGTAGATTAGCTTGACTAGATTCAAGTTAGGACAATTTTGAGTCGAATCGAACTTGACTTTTTAACCCGTTTTTGACACCCGAAGTGTTGGTGGAGCTAATAAAATATTTTCCAATCATATTTATGAAAGTGACATTTGAATTTACATATATCATTGTTATAATCATTTTAAATTATTATTTTAACTTTGTTAACTAACATATTTAACACCTGATTTACAAATGATAGAAATTCTTCAAATTTTGCATTTGAGTCCATAGTTTTGTAATATTTAATATAGATTTTTAAAACATTTATAAGCTTATTTTATCAACAACAACAACAACATCAAGCCTTTATCCCACTACGTGGGGTCCGCTACATGAATCCTTTTTCACCATTGTGTCCTATTAAAATAAAGAATAAAATAAAAAATATTTTATAATTTTTGCAGCATGATTATATGTGAGTAAAAATATATGATAAAATTAAATAGCAGTTACTAAAGCAAGAGTATATTTTGCAAAATTATTTCATAATTTATAAATAAAATAGGCACATCACAACAGAAAAATAAAATAAAATATTTAAAATAGTGATTCAAATGCCTAAATGAACTGTTAACTCCTCAAAATGACTAAGAATGTATCTTATTAGCCTCACATTGCAGGATTTATTTATTCTACCATGAAGATAGACTTAATTGAAAGCAAGCAAATGTGTTAACCATTTTACCAAAAACAAAAAATGGCCTTATTCTCCTCGACCACAAATGAAGCAGCTAACTCTCACCTACAGGAAGAAATAGATATCATTAGCCATAGCATCTAAGGTTTCATTTTAAACGGCGTTCTTACTGCTTTCTAAAGCAGCTTTCTAGCTCAAACTAAGGCTTCGTTTGGGACAGCTTTCTTACTGCTTCTTAAAGCAGCTTTTTAGTTCAATTATTTTAATTTTTGTACTAGAAATCTGCTTCAAGTAACAGTAAGAAAGTTGTCCCAAACAAAGCCTAAAATTTTTTATACTAGAAAGCTGCTTTAGAAAGCAATAAGAAAGCCGTCTCAAACAAAGCCTAAATCAGAATACATAGTAGGATTAGGCTTTCGTTTGGGACGGCTTTCTTACTGCTTTCTAAAATAGCTTTTTAGTATTAAAATTTCTAGTTAAAAAAATGTACTAAAAACTGCTTTAGAAAGTAATAAGAAAATCGCCCCAAACAAAATCTTAATCTAAATTTTATTTGAAGGATTTCAAAGCACAGAAGAGAAAATACCATGAACTGTAATGAGATCATTTGGCCTTCCTGTAATAGGATCATTTGGTCCAAGGTCATCAATGGGTGGCCGCTGAAGGTGATGATTGGTGGCAGACTGATATGCCATTGCTAGGGCTAAAGCCTGAAGCAAATAAAAGTAGAGCAATATGATATCAGCACAGAAGACTGCAATAAAGGGAAATTTAAAAATCAAAAGTGGACTTTTAGTTAGAAATACAAAACTTATTTATTTCTAGGACAAAATAAGAGTTTTAGGATCACTTTGGAGTAGCTGTAATTTTTTGTAAAGATGATTTTATAGTTGATGCAAGTATTATATATATTTTTTTAAATGATCGTGCAATATTGATCGTGCCGGTCTTTCACAAAAGAAAGCATGAGAACTTTTTTTTTTTAACTGTTATTTAATTTGCATAACTAAAGCAAGAGAACTTACAACCGTAGTTAGAGAAACAATTAGAATCAGGATATTCTAACTTAAATTTGATTACAATGAGTATAAAATTTATTGGATTTGCTATGGAAGAGAACAATACAAATTTTGATTGATTTTTCTTGCATAGTAGATATTTCAAAACTAATCCAATAACTTTGAGACCTATATTGACTGAATTTTTTTCACTGGGTTACTGCCCGTTTGAGTTGTTTAGTGATTGTGATTTCTCATCGAAGAAGACTCCCAGCTTTCCTGGAAGAACAAATTTTTATACAGTAATCTCTAAAACAAGTGAAGCTTTGACATATCTTAGCAAAAAATAACGAGTTTTTAAGACAAAAATTAGAGTTTCAGCTGTGTGCAAGTGCGAAAAAAATTTAGGCCAGGCTTCAACATGGAAACCCATTAAACTGGCAGAGAGGAAGCATCATGCATGCTTTGTTTCTTCATAAAAGATTAAAAATAAACATGAACTTACGATATAATCTTTGTCTGGAGGGGCGTAAATGCCTGTCGTCACAGTTGTTCTTCTGTTAGTTCCACCTTTTGGCGGGTTCTCAATGCTTTTGAAGCTGGTCGGAACAACCACAACTGGCATTCCCACAAGATTTCCCAAGCAAACTTTCTCCCAATCAGTTGCATTTCCAATAAATGCATCAACTGTGAAGCTCTCATGAACTTCCCGAATCAATTTCCCTCTAGCTCTTTGTGCCTTTAAAATATAAAAAGAACATTCTGATAGGAAACACTTGTAGATTTTAAGCCAATCCTAACAAGAAAGACAAAAACAGCGAGAAAACTATTCCAAACTCCAATGAAAATCAGAAAAAAACAGTAATTTTATTGTAAGAATCAATAGATCGGAAGAAAACAACAAGATACAGGTGATCCTCTATTCGAGAGGAGGATCGATCTCCCCCAATTTTTAGACGAATCTAGAGCCCAAAACCTAAACCTAAAAGATCCCAAAATCAGCCAAATTCAAGATGCCCTAACCTTAAGAAAACAAAGTATTTAATGCATACAAATCAAAAGGAAATCCCTAAATAGTCCCTACATTCAAATTTCCTTCCCAAATCCCCAAAAAATCCTTCCTAAAAAGCTGCGTAGGCTTTGGTGGCTCACGCGACACTGCAGGAGGCAGAAAAGTTCCGCCTCCGTTTCGTTGAGCCGGTCCAGTCTGGACCGGCTGATTGGACCGGTCTAACACATTCCAAGTCAAATTATGTTGTACACCAGAAACAAAATATTCAAACTGAACAGCAATTGCACGCATATAATGATCATTAATGAATTCAATAAAAATAACATTGCAGGAGACCAAGAATTCAATGCAGCTCAAGGCTCCGTCAACCAAAAATTGTTTAATCATTACTGAATCAAGTTAGAACCAGCTCTTGTGAATGCTATAAAAACTTAACTCTGTGGAGCGGAGTTCTTGAAGGTGTGTAATGTGAGTGTTAAATTGTCACCCCTTGTCTGATTAGTCACCTCCCTCATATAATAAGCGTGTGATGATTAAGATCAATTGAGAGGACCTCAATTAATATTCAAACATGATTGGTCGACCCTCTCCAATCAATGGTACTTAGCATGTATTAAATGAACTATCAAATTCCTTCAAAAAGCGTTTGGCCGGCCCTCCCCTCAATATATTCTAACATGTGGTAAAATTCCACTCTCTAGCAAACAAAGTTTGGACGAACCATGCAATATTGGATATTAATTTGTGTTTATTATAATGCCACTATCTTTCTTAATTTGATCATTTTCGACCCTTCTTTCATAGTAAAACAAAAAATTGTATCGTATCATGCTTAAGTGCTTCCTTATTTATGTTGGCTGGCCACCATCTAACTCAGGATAGGCTATTTCCAAGTAATGCTACATAATAGCTTATAGAAACAAGTGTAATCTAACCTTGAGGAATCATTGAAGAGAAATAAAGTTAACGGTGTTTGTTTTCAGTGCTTCGTGAAGATAGCTTGGTGGTTTTCTTCTTCCTTTGGAGTTCTTTAATGGCAGCTTCAATCATCATTGTGATTCTTAAAGTTCTTTGGCGAGGTTTTAAGTTAGCATAAATATCTTTACGCTCTTTTGAAATAATTTATACTTACCATGCTCTAAGGGTGTGATTCAGTTAGGGGTGCAACCGAGTCAAGCCGACTCGCAAGCCGACTCATTAACAGGCTCGTCAGTGCTTCAGAGCTCGAACATACCTCTGCTCGACTCGTCGGCAGCACGTGGAGGTGACATTCCGGTGGGAAAAAGAAATTGCGGGACGACGGGGGCGGGAAAACAAAATCTCGATGAGGGAAAATGAAATGATCACGACATAGCACCTTGACGATGACGGAGCACGAAGACGACGACAATGAAAAGATGACCAACCTCGGGACAACAGAGGATTACGATGGAGCTCGGGATGATAGAGCATGACAACAGAGCTCTACAAGCCGGTCGACATGAGATGAGTCGAGCTCAAGCTCGTCTTTTGAGCTTGACTCGATTTCAAGCTCAAGCTCAGAATTTGGCAGTCGAGCTTGACTCGAATACCGCTTGGCTCGAGCTCAAATCGATTTGTTTGCACCCCTAAATTTAGTTAAGTCGGCTCGAGATTGACAAAATAAGTGGCGCTGTGAGCTAAGCTCAATGAGTTAACGACCAAACTTGAGCCAACTCCGATTTAACATTTTGGATCATGAGCCCCCTCATTAGATGAATATTAATATAACACACACTCAAAAAGTTAAAATATATTATAATTCAAGAGTTTAACTACAAAATTAAACAAATATATATTAATTATATATCATTTCAAAATATCAAGTCATTTGTTATTATTTCTTATATTTCCCATTATCTTTATCATTTTATTGTAATAAATGCTTCAATCAAAATCATTATGTTTCTATCATAATAAATGAGTCGGCTCGTGAGCCGACTAAAATTTGTAGAGATAAGCTTGAGATTGAGCTCAAACTCAAACTTGATTAATTAATCAAACTCAAGCTCAAGCCATGGTTGTCGGTTGACCCGACATTGCTTGATTCATTTACACCCCTACCTCACTATTTGTAGTTGTTTAAAAAAAATGAAAAGCAAAAAAAGGGGCTATTAATGGGTCGAATCCAAACTAGATCCAACCTGATAAGCATTACCAACATCTTATCTCCTTATGAATCACACGAGAGCTTCTTCTGTCTCCCCCTCTCTGGCATAAATTGAAAATAACCCTCCATGCTTGCCCATTAAAATCCCCCAATGCATTTCTCACATTTGCGGTCGTGCTCTCTCTCTCTCTCTCTCTCTCTCTCTCTCTCTATAGGAACTCATTTTCCACAAATTACACACACATGTGATGAATACCCTCTGTACTTACTTGCACCCAAGATTTATCAAGCTCCTCACATGATGGAGTGAGCAGTCTCTCACACCCTACTTTTTCTCCATCAACGCCCAACAAATTATGCTCAACTACCACAGCTCTCCTAATGCTAAAACTCTACTACTTGTATCTTATTCCCTTCACACACAACATGCTTTTCATTCCCTCTATGCAATTGTGTGAACTCCCAACTTCCATGCCCTTACTCACGCTTAACATCAAACTCCTAACAAACTTGGCCTTCTCCCAACAAATCCTCACACCTCTTAGCCTCAGAGACTACCCATCTCTCTTCTTGAACCATGTCGCTGCCCTCGCCTCCCAACGAATGTGTGCCTCTACCTTCTTTATTCCTTATGTGAGACTTGAACCCACAGCTCCCACAATTCAAAACCAGCTCATCCTACACTTCTCTCATACAAATCTCAAACCCGACTTGCCGGTTGCCACTCTTCCCTGCAGAACCCGCTTCAACTTGCTCATAGAGCTAAGCCTCTCATACAGTGACGAACCCTCTCTCATCCCCACTTGAGAACAACACCTTTATATAAATACTAACTACAGTCTCTATAAGAGATGAATACCAAAGCTAGTGCAAATTTAATCAGGTATTAACTTCCTTGAAGTCCATCTCTCTCTACATGAAAAGATTGGAGTAGCTACAGTGAAAGATAAGATTAGAGAGAGTCGTCTTAGATGGTTTGGTCATAGTAAACGGAGGCTTTCCGATGACCCGGTTAGGAAAGTTGAGGTATTAGATTTGACTTATGTTAAGAAAGGTAGAGGTAGACCTAAAAAGACTTAGTTAGAAAATATTAGAAATGATCTTTCTTTATTAGATTTGAATGAGAATTTGACTTTTAACAGGGCACATTGGCGAAAAAGGATTCATGTAGCTGACCCTAGGCTTGATGTTGTTGTTGAAGTCCATCTCTCTCTTGATCCTGAACACGTAAATGCCCCTGGCATCTACAGGGTTGCATCTCATAGCCTTTTCTATGACATAAGTCACGTAATACTCTAATATAGAATATACCAGAGCTTTCTTTGTCTCCTTGCTAACGTGAAAATCAGCATAAAAAATAAGGGGAGATGTTGGTTGACTACAAACTTATTAATGCCTCTCCATTAAAACCTTCATGACATAAGGCATCCCACATCTTACTATAACATACGTTGAGGTGCGTCTGTAACTTTTTATATAGTTTAAGTCACGTGGTGCTCCATTATAGCATCTAGCCGTGCACATCTTGTAGCAATTTAACATGAAAAATCAACAAAAAATAAAAGATGATCTCCATTATCAAACTATATCAATATACTTTGGCATCTTCCATAGCACACCTCAAAACTTTCTTGACGTGAGGAAATCAATAAAAACTAAGAAGAAATGTTATCCGTTTGCAAATTTAATGTCTCGCCTACTTTTGGTATTTTATAATTAACAAAAATAAAACATTATTGTCCTTGATCCTTGATGGTATAAGTGACATCGCAAACCACTATGGCAGTTGTTGGGGTATATCTCTTTTCCTTCCTATGGCGTAAGCCGCATCATGTTCCATCATGGCATCAATTTGAGCACGCCTCGTAACCGTCTTAATATAAAAAAATCCTTTTAAATCAAGGGGAAACACTGATTCAAGTTATGATTTATTTTTTTTAATTTTCTTGGGTGCTTCAAATCATTTATTAAAGTTTCACCAAATGCGTTGATGTAAATTCTGAGAACCATTACCATAAATCTGAAGGGCCCAAACTCTTAGTGAAAATAAGAATTCAAGAAAAAATAGATTTGAAATATGTAAGTACATCAAGATTCATGTTAATGCATTAATAACTATACTTGCACATTGAAAAGCACACCAATATCTCCAAAAACATGCAGAACATGAAATCCTCCTACAAGGTGTTTGATTAATTGGTAAAGGTTTGTTGACATGTACACTAATGAAAAAAAAAATACAAAGCTCATACCTGTTCGGCGCACGAACTCTGGATGTCCTACACCATCCTCCACACGTCATCGACAAAGCTCGTGCAATCTATGCACGTCCGATGTCACGTCTTCCAAGATATGCGCGATCTTTGCCTACTCTCACTATTAAGAGGGCAACAGACGAATCCTCTGGATGTTTTGTTCGAATCTGTTGACCTTAGCAGATTAAAAAAAGCCCATACCTGCTCTGGCGTCGCACGTCGCTCGCACACCGACGTCGCTTCTTCACATGTTGTCTGCACGATCCCCCTCGACATTAAAAGGAGACCGAAGCCCCTACTCTTCGGTTCAACGATCACGACCCCCTCTTTGGCTCCAGCGCTCT